AGGTTTTGTTGAGTTGCAACTTTGCAGGAACCTCTTCCTGATGCTGGTAAAGGCCCATCCAGGCTCCAAGCAGCTGCATGTGAAGCAGCTGAAGATGCTCCGGTGCTGGTGGAGGACCGGCTTTTTCGTTGTCAATAGACTTTTCCAGCTCCACAGTGGTGAGAGAGACCTTTTGCTTCTGGTGAGTAGGCGAACGGCTGATTATTCAATCCTTCCCAGCATGTTCTTTTCAGGAGGGAGGAATTGTCGATACCTGGGTCATCAACGACAAGCCAGCTGCCCTCTTCTCGGTTGAAAGTTGGCTTTAAACTATTTTAGACTCATCAGCAGCTTGCTTTACTCTTTGAGACTCATCCGTCAGCAGCTTGCGTGTTGGGGGGGTGCTCGATCTCGGACATGTCGGTGCCAGATGGTCGGGTCTTGAATCCTTCCGAATCCTCATTCTCGGGTTGGATTGAAGGAGATTAATATGGCTGATTGTACTGGATGGTCACTGCTGGATCTTCCAACTATAAATCGAGTTCGATCTGGATTTTCTGGAGGCTTTGAATTTTACCGTAATGAATTTTGTATACTGAAGGATGCCCTGCCTAATGCGAATTAAACTTAAACTTTTGTTTTTTCATCTATAGGTCCAGCTTTGAGGACTCTGATGGCTCGAAGGCTTGGCACACATGAATCTGAATGATGCAATTTCAGATCTAATCACATCTAACCGGCCTTTGGTCATTCACTGAGCATATTTTACATATTTTACACACACACAGTAAACAATATATATATATATATATATGTTGAACACACATATTGTATTTATAATCTATAAAGTATGTTATAATTTGGATATATTACATTGTAAATTGTATACATAAATCGATATATATATATGATTATAATACTTAGCTATTATACATGGCCTTTTGGGTAGCCTTGTAGACTCCGACACCGGTGCTGACGGGGGGCTATGATTGATGCCCATAGACACCGTAGAAGTTGAAAGAGACTCACCGATACGCCTCTTTTGTGGAGGGAGAATGTAGAAGTTACGCACACAATCTTCCACTTCGTGATAAGAGGACCGGAATCGATCTTTTTTGAGAGAACACTTGCAAAAACCAACTGGCCTGGCCGTGTGGTGTGCGCCATGGCCATGGCTCTTGTGGCTCTTGCGGCCTTGCTGCCGTGGCCTGGCCTTGCGGCTCAACCCGTGGAGCAGATGGTGAGCCGCTGGAGGAAAGCACCGCAACATGTGCCCAGCACACATGTGCCAGATGGCCCACTCCTAGGTGCGGCACTTGAACGAATGTGGTGGGGCTAGGCGATGAGGGGTGGCTAGGAAAGAAGATGACAGATGTAGCTGCGTTCAACTCCGCACCCCAAGTGCATAGGATGTGACGTTGTTTTAGTATTCGTCAAGGTTGACTCTTTTTGGGTGTCGAAAGGATGTGGAGTTTTCAAACAGCATACCATGCGGTGTAATGAGAGCTTCTTGCAACTGCCACTCTCCTTGAGTATGTGGCTGTTGGGTCTTTCCAAGACCGGAGGCCGACCGGTCAGGCTCCAGGTGGACGACCGTCGGGCGGTGGCTCGGTTTCGATCCCTGCAGCGGGTGTCTCAGGCAATGGCCAGATGGGCATCACCGTCGGGTTCTCCGAGTGGGATGTGCTCGATGCGAAGGTGGCCTTCCACGTGGGGCACAATGCGTTCTTTGCAGCGCCCACGGGGAATTGGAAGATCTCCTCCTGTGGCTACACCGATTTGACTCGAGCTGGGCGGAAGGCCTTGGGAGGCACTGCCGTGGGGGGTAGATTTTGGGGCACCACTGCGGGTTGGGATGGGCCATTGAAACGCTCTCGAAAGGAGCAAACTTTCAAGAAAAACTATCCAACTTGCCTACCATGTACTGTCCTGTAACAAGAAATTGTGATTCCTGGCCGCATCACAGCCGTTTCCATGCATTTCCTGCAGCGCACTCCGACATGGAACACCTCCCAGGAAACTAGCCGAGCAACGCGGGGATTGCTCAAGTACCCCATGTACGGACCCTCAGAATTGATTCACTCAAGTCCCAACAAGTTGAGGTGGCAATCGACCAAAAAAAAATATTAGAATATATATGAATATATAATATACAGTTAATAGGGATCTCGATCTGCAATGGTTTGGGGCTTTGTGCCATGAGAAAAGCTGATTTATTTTATCCATCATTCTGCATCAACTTCCAATCATCCGTCACCAGGCCTCAGTGTGAGCTTTCCAGCTTCAGCTTCGACCAAGCCCGCGGGGAGCGCGGAGCTCTTTCCGGCCAATGGCAGCTTCGTGTGGTCGAAGGGCGGGGCCGGTATCCATGCGTGGGTGCATGCTGCAGAGGACGCAGATGTCCGAAGTGGGTTCGGGCATGGGGAATCTTCATGCGTTCTCTCAAAGCATAATATAGGAACCACCATGGCTCGTCGGGGCAACGGTGCCAAGTCGTCTAATCTACCTGATGTCCCCGGTATCGTCCACGAGCTTGCGTCTTCACGTGCACGGACCGATCTCATATGTTCTCACACACACTTTGGAATGTGAATCAAAGCAGTCCAAGGGGTGGCACGGCGCGACGCGGGACGCACTTCGTCCGGTACCGTCCGACCGTCCCACCGTTCCACCCCGTGTCGTCCAGGACGTTCTGATCTTGAACTTGACCAGCTCAGTCCCTGGCCGAGCGAAGCTGGTCCTATGGACCTACAATGGTTGCAGTGGTCCGCCCAACCCCACCGCAGCCAGGAACACCACCGATGCCTTGCCCACCCAAGCACAACAGATTGGTTCGACTTTACACGTGGCAAGAGCCAATGGGTGGGAGTACCAACTGCAAGCCTATGAGGACGCTTTGTTGCGTTAGTTTACCGTAGCACATGTCAGCACCAGCTTTATCAGTTTGATCAAATTTTAGGGTTGGCAAACCCCTGAGCACCTTGAAGAGCAGCTGGGCCCTACCCCCACCCCAAGTTGTTGAGGTCGTCGAACTACTCAGCAGTATGTTTGGGATGTCCCGGCACCATTTTAGCCCCCCAAAAGCAGCCCAAACTTGCTCGTGCTTCTACAATCTCTGAACTGATCCTAGTGGATGGCACTGGCACCACCTTGTTCATCCGACCCCATGCCATTTACGTCACCATGCCTGGAGTCACCGCAGGTCCAGTGGTTCCACCTGCTGACGGCCGGAGAAGCAGGTGCCCGGTTGGTGAATTTCAGCTTCACCTCGCAGTGCGGAGCGGTGGAGGGGCCCTGCATGACGGCCGAAGTGGAGGTTTCGCCCCATGCGACGATGCTGACCTTGGAGTTGCAGAAGAGTTCTTGGAAGAAGCCCATGCCGGAGCCCAGGTCTGGCATGCGAAAAGAGGAGGTCGGTTGGCAGTTGGCAAAGTCATGTGACCCCCAAAAATACCAATCTATATATACGCCACTGATCTCCAAGTCAAATGACCTGAGCATCTCAGGACAAAAAGCAACCATTTGTTTCGAAATGTTCCCCCCAAACCGGTCCTCAACAAAAGCACACACTCTGACATTGGTTTTCAGTTAGCTCAGTTCCCAAGTCGAGAAGGAAGGTGAAGAACCGCAAGGTGAAAGGGTCAGCGAAAACGTTTAACCAGAGTTTCACAGCAAGCGCAAGTGGAAGCGGCTGCACAGCGGCGGGAAAACCTGTTTGAGGGTGGTAGCATGAAGAACCATGAAACAAAACGTGGAAAAGTAGGGTGACAGCTTGCGAAAACCTCAGCAGGTACACAATGCGGCGTCCCGCATTGCTTCACGACCGATCTATCACTGTCTTCGTTGGGCAGTGAGTGATAGTGGTCCACTGCCCCCCTGCTGATTCCGAGGTGAAGAGCCCTTAGGGACAGGGTTTGACACACACACACACACGGTGCCGCTTTGCGGCGCTCGTGCGAACGACCTGAATAGGTACCTAAAAAGCCTTAGAAACAAAAGAAAGAAACACAGAAAGAGTAGCGCTAAGAGGGCAAGAGAGAAAGGTAGGAGTAGAAAAAAGTGAATACTTAGCCCTTGACTGGGGTAGGGAAACGAGCCTCAAGAGCAACCTAAAAAGCCTGAGAGAAAGCCCAAGAAACGACCAAAAGCGGAAGAAGGAAAAGTGGGGGGCAGGGAGGTGTATGTACATGTGTGTGTCCGTGTGTGTGTATGAATACTTAGCACTCTAGAATTACTGATTACTTAGCGGAAGTGAATTAAATGCAATAGTTAGGGAGCGGGACTTTAGTCTTAGACCGCCCGGGTAGAGAAGACTAGAAAAGGGACAACAGAGAAGGCACCGACACACAAGTGTGCCGAGTACCATTTCCCTCTCTTACCCTAATTAGCGGGTGGGAGGGGTTGGGGTGTTTGGGGTAGAAACCGCGTTTGGGTTCATTCTCCGCGCAAGCCCGGCGGCTATTGGAGCAGTTAATCCAGTGGTGAAAAAAAGTCAGTTAAGAAAATCCACGGAAAGAAGGGACCGAAAAGTCTGCTACATGATTTCCAGCATGGCTTCAGCGCCCCTGTGACGGGGATCACACCCAGCACCCAAGTGGGACGGCTGAGCGGTTCACACTCTGACATTGGTTTTCAGTTAGCTCAGTTCCCAAGTCGAGAAGGAAGGTGAAGAACCGCAAGGTGAAAGGGTCCGAAAACAGTATTGTTTAACCAGAGTTTCACAGCAAGCGCAAGTGGAAGCGGCTGCACAGCGGCGGGAAAACCTGTTTGGGGGTGGTAGCATGAAGAACCATGAATCAAAACGTGGAAAAGTAGGATGACAGCTTGCGAAAACCTCAGCAGGTACACAATGCGGCGTCCCGCATTGCTTCACGACCGATCTATCACTGTCTTCGTTGGGCAGTGAGTGATAGTGGTCCACTGCCCCCCTGCTGATTCCTAGGTGAAGAGCCCTTAGGGACAGGGTTTGACGCACACTTATGGATATGCGTGCTGACTGACAGCGGTGCCACACGCCGGCCTAGGGTACCATTTCCTAAGAGTACACGTACGAATCACTGGATCCTGGAGGTCTAAACAGAAAGGTGGCCAAAAGCTCAAGACGAGGTCGGTCCGACAGGTTGACGGCGTTCCGTGCGTGACTGCAGCTACATGAGGTACCATGTCTTTGAGGTTCTGGGCTTAGCCTCATGCCATTCGAAAAGAATCGCAGGTACGTCGGAGTGGCCAACTCCGATATCACCAGATCAAATGGGCATCTTCGTTGGTAGCGGTCCCAAATGATCTGCCGCTACCCCCTGCTGAAAAAGAAAACATAACAATTACGGAATCCTTGTGATTAAAAGGGCACACACACACACACGCCTCCCCGAGGGGAGGCGAATTGAAGGTGCGGACAAAGTAGTAGTAAGGCCAAGAACCTCTAGTAGCGTCAAAGTAGGAACCTAGCACCTAGCAGGAAGGCCAGGAGCCCCTAGTAGCAACCCAAGCTAAGGTCCCGACAGGAGGGAGGGGTAGGGAGAGACGAGAAAAAGGAAAAAGAAGAAAGGAAGGTGTTCCCAGCTACGACGCGCGCGTCCAAGGACACGCCAAAGGAAGAGAGGAGAAGGGTTCCCAGCTATGACAAAAGCATCCAGGGACACCCAAGGAGGAAGGAAGGGGAAGAGAGGAAAGAAAGAAAGAAAGAAAGAAAGAAAGAAAGAAAGAAAGAGAGAGAGGGAGAGAAAGGGAGAGGAGAGAAAGGAAAAAGGCAGGTGTTCCCAGCTACGAACAATCGTCCAGGGACACACCAAAGAAGGAAAGGGGTGATCCTGAGTATTCCATTCAGGAAAACACAAAAAAAGCAAAGAAAGAAAGGGGGAGGGAAGGGGAAGGGGGGGGGACTAAGCTCGCGACAGGGTCCAACGAACCTCAAAAGTACTTCGGTCGTTCTGACCACATAAGCCAGCTTGGACCGCTGCGGTCACGTAAAGGCATGAGCCAATTTAGAACTCCAGATGAGACAAAAATCTGAGTTGTTGTGGCATGAGCCAGCTACTGTCCGCTCCGGACACGTACATCTCCAGGCAGGGGCGACAACGACAAACACCCGTTCGACGGGTCCACGGGAGGCACTCTACGGGCTCATCCCGGGCTGGCACTGGGCCAGACACACTTATGGATATGCGTACTGACTGACAGCGGTGCCACACGCCGGCCTAGGGTATCATTTCCTAAGAGTACACGTACGAACCACTGGATCCTGGATCTTCAAACAGAGGTCGGTCCGACAGGTTGACGGCGTTCCGTGCGTGACTGCAGCTACATGAGGTACCATGTCTTTGAGGTTCTGGGCTTAGCCTCATGCCATTCGAAAAGCATCGCAGGTACGTCGGAGTGGCCAACTCCGATATCACCAGATCAAATGGGCGTCTTCGTTGGTAGCGGTCCCAAATGATCTGCCGCTACCCCCTGCTGAAAAAGAAAACATAACAATTCAACGGAATCCCTGTGATTACAAGGGGCACACACACACACACTGATCTCCAAGTCAATTGACCTGAGCATCTCAGGACAAAAAGCAACCATTTGTTTCGAAATGTTCCCCCAAACCGGTCCTCAACAAAAGCACACACACACTTAGATAAAGGCTTGGAAGAGCAGTATCAGTTGACGAAGTCCCTCTTTGCTGCAGGTGGACTCTTACACGCAATTAGACCTTGACTTGAATCGACTGCAGGAAGTGCTGGGTCGGCTCAACAAAAGGTTTAACAAAAGTGCACTAGCCCTGCAGGTACGTGGAAATGGCATGAAATGGCGTCCCATTTCCATATCCTCGGATACATGGCCAGCTTCGTTGACCAGGCGACAATGTATCCTGCCTGCCTGGTCCCCTGCTCTGTACTGTGCATGATTAAAATTCCTTGGAAACAGGAGTTGGCACACACACACACAGTAAGCCGCCATTCGGCACACGCTCTTTTTGGTTTTGCGGTATGGGGGGATAAAAAAGTGCGTTGACTAAACGAGCCTGAAAGTCAACCTAACAAGCTTGAAGGAAAGAAGCAAACAAACGAAAAAGGGAAGAAAAGAAAGGAAAGGGTGCAGGGGGTGTGGGGGGTGGGCAGGGCGTGCCTTGATTAAACGAGCCTAAACGTCGACCTAACAAGCCTGAAGGAAAGCCCAAGCAAACGAAAAAGGCAAGGAACGAAAGGGTGCAAGGGGTGTGGGGTGGGGGGAAAGGGTTTGCAGGCCCGAAGGCTTTGACGAGAAGCCGTGACCGGCGCACACTTGACTAAAAGGCATCAGTTACACCTAAAAAAACCTCCAGAAAACGAAAAACAACCTAGAAAGCGAAGAGCAACAGCAGGAAGGAAAGAACCAAGAAAAGATGACTTAGCAGCAGAGCCTACACCCTATGAAATACCTAGCCGCATGTCATGTCATTCTTTGGAAGAAGCTTCAGCGAGCCCTGCGGCATATGATCAGCAATCTCGAGCAGAACACTGAAGTTAAAGAAGTCCACGAGCAGGCCGAGAAACCAGTGGAGGTTCACCCGTAAGGGTATGTGCATATGCTGCACCCCTCGCTGGGGATCACGCCGCAGCCCACAGTGGGACTCTGTGGCGAGACGCGCTTAGTAGAAGGCTCGCAAGAGCAGTATCAGTTGACGACTTCCCACTTTACTGCAGGCAGACTTTTACACGCAATCAGACCTTGATTTGAATCAACTGCAGGAAGTGCTGGGTCGGCTCAACAGAAGGTTTAACAAAAGTGCACTAGTTAAGAATTTTGAAGTACGTGGAAATGGTGTCCCATTTCCATATCCGCGCTTTGTACATGATTAAAATTCCTTGGAAGCAAGAGTTGACACACACACACACATCTTTTTGGCGGCTTTGTTGTCTCTTTGGATCCCGCCTGACCTCTCAGGGCCCTATCTGACCTCTCGGAGCTCGAGCGGTCCCATGTGCAGATCTGGCGCCACTTCTGGGCGAAGTCCTTCATCAACCTACCGGACTCCCAGACACGCGGCTTTTTGTTATGCTTTCTCCACGTGGGACGTCGTTTTCTTTATATTGTTTTTTTTTGGGGGGTTGGGGGAGTAACAACAATGAGGGGAGCTAGCTAGCTGGAGCTGGAAAAATTAAAATAGCTATAGATGTGGACTAATCAGGACTCGGGCATGCAGTCCTTGTGTCCTGAGCCACCTCCATAGGAAAAGCGACTGTTTGCTAAGAAACACGCACCTTCAACCTGAGGATCACCACATTCTATTGGCACATGAGCCAATATCTTCTACGGATCTCCTCAACTGGCTACGCGAGCCCTGGCCTTTTTGGGCCTTTTGTGAATGACGACCAGGTCAGTGCAACTCGCTCCATCCGGGTTGACGGTGTAGGTTCAAAACAGGGAACCCTGTAAGATCCTTGGAACATCCTTTAGCAGAGAATTTGGGAACCTGATCAAGCCAAGAGAACAAAATAAATTGATATGATTACACTACCACTCTTCAACGAATTTCATTCCTCACCGTTGCTGACCCCGGACCCCGCCACTCCAACCCAACTGGTACGCTTGATCAGAACGAGCACGGCGGCCCACGTCTTTGGACCTCCCCCCCTCCCCCAAGAGACCTTTGATCGAGCTGAAGAAAAACCTGTCACAGGTGGGCTGGATGGGAGATCTCACCTTGAACTACAACGCGGAGGCCTCCTACTACGGCGCTGCATCTTCCAATCACCTGGAGCTCTTCGAGCCTTACCTCCAAACGATTCTGGACTACCTGCCTTCGGCCCGCCTCATGGCAGACAGCCAGTATCCCGGTCACCTGGACGGCACCTTTTGGGGGTGATTCGTCCTTTTTTCAGTCGCATCCAGCCGTGTCTTCCGCTTAAACTGACATTTGTGTCAGAAATCGTGGTCAGACCTGTCACGGAAAGAAAATCAGGTTCTGCTTGCGCTGGCGCCCTGTACTTTGCCGGGCACATTCTGCCCTTTGGGGTGACTAGCTCTAGCAATGGGGACATGGGTCAGAAGCAGATGGGCCTCTTTGCCAGCGTGCCCTTCATCCTCTATTGGCGCTACACCCGAGACCCCAACTTTGCGCAGAGGCCGGGTTGTGCTGCAGGGGATGAGGGGTGCCCGCATCCGGCCCACTAAGCATATCGGGGGCTCCACTTGGACCATGGAATTGGTCAAATGAGTGGTCAAACATGGTCAAATGCTTTTTTTGACTTCGCCCTCCTACATAAAAAAAGGCTTTTGGAGGGCGTGGGTTGAGCTTCGTCTGACCTGGTCCACCGTGAGTTTTCTTGTCCGATCGTCAGGGCCTTTCCATTCTTCGAGGGCTTGGCCCGTTTCTGGGAGTGTGTCCTCGTGGAGGACTGACTGGATCAGGTGCCCGAGGATGTGATGCCCGACTCTACGCCTATTCTGCGGTGTGTTGAGCTAGCTATAGTCGTTTTGTGTTCTATTCTGCTCCTGGCCTACAGTCCTCATCCAGCCTCATTCGTACATATTCGCACTAGATTTTGACGTTTGCAGGACTTTTTGCAGGGTGTCCTGTCGGGGGCCTCTTTCCAGAATCTGGTAATCTGGTAACATCATAGCAGCTTCACAGGGTGTAGACTTCTTGTCTCTTCGATGACGAGTCTTCTTCCATGAGTCATGGGGTGAATCCTACAGCGACTGCCGTGTTGCATTGCCAGCTTCAAATCCAACATTGAGTTCCCCAGGTCAGCGTCATCCTGCTTGCCAGGAGCAGGATGGGCTACTGCATGATGCCCAGGATTGTGCAGAGGAACTCTGTAGCCCAGATGGAGTGAACCAAAAGGATCCCACCGTGGTACTCTCGATGCTGCCCGCCTTCTTCCGCACGGCAGGCCCATGCGGCCAGGGGAGAAAACATGGACAGGACCTGGTGACCTGACCTGTCAGCATTTGTGCCTCACCCCTGGCTTCTCCGCACCACCCACCGCAGCCCCGCAAAAACCCGCAGGCGAGTTGGCTGCCCTCTTGGGTCATCCGGAGAGCCAACGGCGTTGGGCGGCCCATGCGAGGCGGATTGCGGCCTACCCCACGGCGCGGTGGCGCGGAAAGGACGTGCTTCGGAACTCCGCGGGCCAAGGTGAAGAGTCGGGACCGACGCTTGACGACGAAGTCTGGGCGCTTTCGGAGGGTGTCTGGGGGTGGGGAGAGGAGGGGGACCGCTTTCGCCTTTCTTTGTAAGAAGATTGAGGAGGTTGACATGTTCACAAACCACATCAAACCACAAGCTTTGCGCTGCCATTAGTTTCCGGAAAGCCAAACGCTTCTCGCAGAAAGTAGGAACGTTCATGCTCGACCTTTTGAGAAAAGTCGACTTTTCGACTTAATTTTGAGCATATCATTTCACTGTTCAGCATTTTGAGCATCAACATTTGGCCCTTTTTGAGGAGAGTTTGGCTCTGCAACTTTTCGAGGCAGCATTTACGTTTTGAATCAGAAGGTGATCGAAGCCAAATGGAATGTCCAAGATACCACGCATGTTCACGTGCTCGCGTGGGAGCGTCAGAAGACATTCAAAGTCCATATGAACCAACACGTTCGCGAGAAGTTTCACTTCTGGACTTTATCTCTCCGGCCCGGCCCGGAGCCTCCAAAATGGGTGTCGCAACCCGGTTAGCGCGGGACCGTGTGACACCGATCGGTTCAGGACAGGTGGGCAGTTCGCATCCTTCCCCTTGGGCACTGTGAGCCTCTCCAGCAGTGCTACCAGCCTGGAGGCGCATTTTGTGGCGTGTAGTGTGGCGTCCTGCGTGTTTTTGGGGGGCGAGATGTAGATGTAGAATCTTGATTCAAAGCAATCCAAACGGGAAGTCTTTAATCAAGATTCTACACTACTGTAGTTATGGGGGTTGGAAGGAGATGGTAAGTTACGGCTCTTGAAACATCACAGGCTCAGAGGTGTTAGCGTGACCTCCATGAGTGGCACAACTTTCGAGCACTGGATTGGCTGTGTGGATGCTTTGGACATGCTTGTGTTCATAAGAAACTGGCCATGCCATTGCCTTGCAATATTTGGATGAGCAATACCCAGTGGCGAACTGATGTGCCACCACTCGGCGTGTCATGTGCAAAAGAAACCAGACGCACGCCCGACATTCCTACGGGGGTTAAACGACGCCGGGGCAGCAACACGCGGTGATGGGCATGCCAGGTCGTGCGGCAGTCGCTGGAGCATTTCTTTGACATTTGGCCTGGAGGTGGCTTGGGACGTTGAAGATATTTGAAGCCCAAAGTTTTTCAGTGGCCAGGTGTTGCCCCGGATTGACGGGTGGAATGCTCAAAAGTGCCAACCATGAAGGCGGAGACGAAACTGGTTGTCCTAAGCCATCCAGCCATCCTAAGCCGAAACCGCGCGCAACTATAGGCATGTCTCTGTCAAGCACTGGCAGTCCCCATAGACGTTCCTCACCTCAATATATATATATATATATATCAGAACAACTATCAAAACGGAAGGAGTGTCCTGCGGGGACAATTTCAATCGCAATCCCATCGGCCCAACAAGCAGCATGCACCAAGGGACTCCTGAAGGTAAGTAGACATCCAGAAGACGATGTTTTCTTCCAGAAGTCGTTGATCTGCTTGTTGTTGACTTTTTTCTTGCCGACACAGCTGCCCGACGGGTGGCGAGGTAAGCAAGGAAACAGCTTTTGCTCGATCTTTGCAGCTGCGAACCGTGTGGCATGGCGCCCTGCCCATCTTTTTCAGCTTTGGGAGTCGTACTTGAAGAACCAATCAGATCCGGACTGCATCATGTGACTTGTTCTTGCAGATGGGCTGTCGATGGCCTAGGCGACTGGGAAGGGAACTGCCCACTGGAAGACGAATCCACAAACTAAACTACAGGCACTCCTACATTGAACATTGAACCCTGAAACCACTCCAATGACTCCAACCCATGTAAGTATGTCATACATAGAGTGTTTGGGGATCATGTTCCGCCGTCCAGCTGTCATCGTTTCTGTCATCGTTTGGCCTCAAAATATTCACTCCACCATGTCACTGCCATGAATGCTCAAGGTTTGTATATAATTGTATATATATATATAATATTGGTTTCAGAGGTTTGATGGCACTGGCACCCAAAGATGTCTTTTATATCGGGGGTCGATATAGAACCACCGAACTTGGAGATTTGGCCATCTACTCTGAAACCACTGTATTCGTGAAGCGTATTAGGTGAGTGTAGGCAGATCTTAGCGTAGGGTGTGGTGTGGGCGGGTAGCCCAAACAGAACCCAGATGTTAGCGAGGAATTTTTTTTTTGCGGAGGCACACAAACCCATTTACATTCTACATGTGTATACTGTATAATGTACTTATACAAAAAAGTACTTACATATGCCATTGTTTTTTGTTTGACCGTCCCGTGCTTTATCCACTTGACATTGCACTGAGGTACCCCAATGGCATGGTCCTGGGCTGTGGCGGCACCGGGTTGGAGAACGTGGGCGCCACGGCCTATGTCAACGAGCTCCTTTTGCAGTCGCATGAGGGATTTCTGCGCATCTTCCCTGGATGGAATAGCACAGGGTCCTTTCATTTGAGAGCTGAGGGTGGCTTTGAGGTGATGGCGGAGAGACGCTTGAGCTGGGTTTGGTCTTATGCTACTCCATTCGGGGGGGAAGTACTTGAATGCCCACTCAAACGGCTAAAGCAACTCCCACTGCCACTTGGGAAGATTATACTCAGGATCGGTCGCCGGATCGAGGATGTCCAAGGATGTCCAAGGGGAGCCTCCTCCCTGTCCAAGGCACCTTTTGTAGCACTCATCGGGGATGGTTTAAAAAAAAAAATGTATATATAGGGTTACTGATCACTCCAGTACACCCCAAAACCTGCATAGCAGGAAATTGACCCACACTCCCTGTGCTGGGAGGCTGGCTTAGCCATGTTCGACAGCCACAGCCACCGGAAGCCCAGGAGATGCCGCCGAAGTTACATCTTTGAGCATCCACACTTTGCAGCGTTGCAGTTCCAGCTGCCGCCTACGAAGCCCCTGGAAGGTGTCCCATGTGCGGGTGAACGGGCACATGTGGCCGGTGACCGATGGTGAGCTGGAGTTTCCGGTGGCACCGCGCACCAGCTACGAGCTCCAGCCGGATCGAAGGTTCTGGGTCTAGTGACGATGCCGTGGCTGGCCATGGGTGGAGTCCTGTAGGGCAAAGCCGCCAGATGCTCCACCCAAAAAAAAGATAGCAGAATCTAGCAGCCGTATAGTGAGAACATGAGAAGGATGGTGAAGGGTTCAGGGTCGAAACAGCACTTGCCGGTCTTACTGAGCACTTTGAAACATGCTTGGCCAAGCACACGCGCGTGGAAAACGACAACGGACTATGCACGTCGACCACCTGAAGATCGGACTTTGCAGACTACAAGGGTCACTGGAACCGGGTCAATCGGACTTTCACGGCTGACCAAGCCTTTTCTCATGTCGCCGGAAGGGCAGCGACGCACGGCGAAAAGGGCCGCTGGACGGCGATCGTGGGGTGTAGACAGAGAGGCATCCTATCGCCTCGTCGTGGCTCGACGGTGACGCGTCACCAACCCAGGTGCGAGAGCATGTCTCCATGCGTGGCTACTCCAGGCGGGTGGAGAAGAAACGCTCGACTGCGTCCTCAACGGCTTGTGGGGGTGGCTCAGGGTCAGGAATCAGGCAGGGAAATAGAGAGACGGGGATCAAGTCAAGGTAGGGAAGGACCATGATTCCGTTTCGGGGGGACGTGGGGGACGGAAATGCGAGGCCGATGCATCCGGCCCGGCGCCTCAGTGCCAACGACCGTTGGCAGGCGGGGCTGAAGTATGGCCAAGTACGGCCGGCTTTCGGGTGCGTGTCCTTTCGGGGATGAACTGGGCAGAGCGAGGAGTTTTTGAACTGGCAAAGAGCACCTCAACATAGACGTAGACTCTTGATTAAGAACAACCACCCCTCCATACAGTATGAAGAGGTTTTAGAATCCAAAGCGGGGGGCTTAAGATAATAGATTGTAGTCAAGAGTCTACATTGCCAGCCAAGCGAGCAACACTTGAAAGTGTCACATTTTGCACAGTTTGAGGACAGATCTTCAAAAGATGCATCAGAGGCAGGATTTGGGTGTGAACTGGACCGTCGTAAAATTATCAGTTTTTAGTTTTTGCGTTTAATCTCATTAACTTAACTTGTAGTATGACTCAAGACCTATGCCACGGTCAATGACATCCAGACAGCCGGGTGTGCATAGACATCGAAATATGAAGATCATTATCCTGCTATGCTAGGGCTTGTTGGCATCGAGGATGCAGTAACGTCAGTAATGCCAGGTTGATTGAAGACGATGACTGCATCGCATGGCTTGCGACATACACTTGGAAGTCAAGGATCCCAGGAAACCATTACAATATTAAGCAGGTCCGACTTGGATGCTGGCAAGCTTTCCAAGCAGTCATTTTTTTTGAAAGACCGGCAGATACCACCTCACAGGCGTTCGCATGGTGCATGCTTCGCGGTAGCGAGGACGAACACGCATCTGTCATAATAAGTCTGTCATGGTGATTCTCCGGGTTTTCTGAATCGACCCTGTCGACTGCTTCGCATGGTTTTCTTCGTGGAGCTCTTTGCGAGCTCAGGTTTTGGTTCAGCCAAGCTCTTGGTTCGGCCCATTCTTCGCAGGCAGCCTTCCATCTGAGCCCTCTGCCGGACCACACCATTGCCACCTGGCCGCTGAAGGAAGTTCCTGGCGTCGGGTCGCGCTGGTCGTATCGATGGTGTGTCCGGTCGAAGAGGATCTACACTCCCCGGACGAACCGAAGCGGAAAAGCGCCAGTTTGTAGAGGAAAATGGTGGCCACTTTCCACTTGCATGATGATTCAGAGTGTATCTGCCAAAGACTTGCACTACTTCAGCTTGGTGGAAGAAGTGCAGTTTGTGCTGTGGTGCTGAAGATGCGGATGGCCAGATGGCCTATGATGGTGCACCCCGTGAGCCTTGTCCAACCAGCTTTGTGTTTGCCAAGATGTGGTGGGTAAAGTAGCTTTGCAATGGAAGTAGCCAACATGTAAGTAGGGGTCTTCTTTTAAAGACCATTGGAACACAGAAAGGGGGCAGAGTAACTACAAGACAGAGATAACAACAACCACCGCTGACGTGGCTCATCTAGATCAACGGACGAACCCGATGATCGTGCAATTCTCCTTTGTTTCATGAACCTTTGCATCTGCGGCCATGAGGGCCCTTGAGCGTTGGATGAAAGACGGTGCGGATCCCGTCTCTAGGATTTGTGTGGGTTTAGGGGTCTTTGTGAACCAGGCTCCGAGGACCAAACTCGTTAGGTGTGAACCCCTACACTCGCATTGGTAGCGTGCCCTTAGATCCCCTCGTGATCGCGCGCCTCGATGGCGACTGGTGGCGATGGGGTGACCACTTCGGAGGAGCTCGAGGATGCCGATGCGGAGGGCGAGGAAGAAGCCTACGTCCAGGACATCGACGAGTTCCTTGCCGAGCCGGAAGAAGGAGAAGAAGAACTTGAACCAGCCCCAGATGCAGAGACTTCGTTGGAGCCTCGGAAGTCTTCTTCACGAAGCGGCCGCAATGGACCACGGACCGGCTCCTCCGCCGGATCGGACGCTTCAGGGACTTCACCGAGGAGACCACCGAGGAGCAGGACAAGTGACGAAGGCCGCGACAGCAGAGACAGTCGCGACAAGTCGAGTTCATCTCAAAAGAAGCCCAGAGGTAACCTGCCTCCAGCCCCAAAGTTCGATGGTGATCGCAAAGCTGATCCTCGATGCTTCCGCAAGTACCTCAACAAGGTCGATAGCTATGTGGCCCTGGCCGAGAAGATCATCGACCACAATGAGATTGGCTTGAGGTTGCACGCGGCGCTGGAAGGCGAGGCCGCGGACTACTTGGAGGATGTCCCAGCTCGCACCTTCGGCGAGATAGATGGCTGGCGGGTGCTGTTGCGCATTCTGCGTGACAAGTACGATGAACCACCAATGCACAAGGTGGGAACGGCCATGAAGAACTTCTTCAACCTCCAGATGGCGCAGGACAAGACCATCACCATGCGTGAGGTGGCCGAGCATCTTGATCGTGCAGCCCGTCAATGCAGAGACGCGGGATTGGACTTGCCGGACGCTGTGATGATCCACGTGTTCTTCCAGCACACCGGAGCAAGCAATGAGCGACAGGCCAATTTCCTGTTGCGGACTGGCGGACAGTACGACTGGGCCAAGATCAAGGCAGCCATCGACATCCTGTACCCCAACACTACGGTCCGGGTACCTGCCTCTGGAGCGAAGGCATCAGGCTATCGAGGAAGAGCTGCACACGAGGTACACTGGTCTTCTTCAGACTGGCAACTTCCTGATCTCCAAGATCCGTCCATTGTTTGGGACTCCTGGCTCTACGAGAACGACCCCGTCGAGATGATCGCAGAGCAGACCCTCTACGAGGCCGTGGACGAGAACCTCATCCCTCAGAACTTAGCCCGCGACTTGACTGCGTGCTTCAACACACACCGTGAGAACCGCAGGCAGCTGGCCCGCGCTGTGCAGGCCAGAGGCTACTACGTTCGTGGTGGCAAGGGCAAATCTGGTGGCCGAGGCAAAGGAGATCGAGGCAAAGGTCGTGGCGGCAAGAAGGGCAAAGGCGGTAAGTCCGCTGGCGGCAAGACTCGCGGCGGCCTGACCCTTCAAGAGCTCAAAGCCAAGACCGCTTGCGCTGAATGTGGCGCCATTGGGCATTGGAAAGAAGAGTGCCCTAAGCGTCAGAGCAACCTGACACACCACACTGAGTATCGTGAGCCGGACCCCTACTATGAGCCTGACTTCGAAGAGTACGACTACGACGCCGATGAGCAGGCCTATGAGGAGTGGGACCCGGAGACTTGGGACCAATGGCAAGAAGAAGCGCCACGGTCTTCTCATGCAGCTGGACGTCAAACTGATGCTGCAGCAGCCGTGGAGGAGGAGAACCTGCGAGCCATCCATGCCTTGCGAAAGAAGGTCAGTCAAGCGGCTCCCCTTGCCGGTCCTTCCAAGTCGACCTCAGCGACGACTTCAAAGACAGCACCTCCGGCAAAGGTACCACCTGTCATGCCAAAGACACCGCCTGTCATGCCCAAGCAGGTGAAGCAGGTGCGCAATGTCTACGTCGAGCAGTCCAAGCACGACATCGTCGAGGAGCAGGGCTTCAACAAGCACTCACTCTACTCCGACGAGTTTGTCGACCAGCACGGAACCATGGCACGTGTCAAGGCCATCCTGACCGCCAAGCCGCCGGGGACGACTTTCTCTGGCAGTGAAGCTCGAGCAGCAGTCCGGACGCATGCAACGAGCTCAGCACACGTGGCCACCAGGACAGATGAGACTGGCCTCACTGGGTCCGTTTGGGATCTTTTGAAGGACCATTCCAAGGCACCCGACCTCGACTCCCTGCGGAAGACACGTGACGTTCTTGCCGCACGACGGGTCAAGTTCGAGAGCCCTACATCACCGCGGAGCGCTTTGTCCTTGACAAGGAGGCCACCCACCGTGCAGACAGACAAGGTCTACTTGACCATTGACACGGCTTGCGAGAACACCGTCGTTGGTTCCGTTTACCTGGAGAAGGTCTTGAACAAGCTGGGTGAGCATGGTTTGATGCCCATCGCCCACGAGGAGAATGAGCAGTACTGCTTCGGTCCTGGAGCACCAAAGACGAGCACGACACGTCTCTCCGTGCCCATTGGGATCGATGGCAAGCCTCTGGTCATCAGGACCTCCGTGATCCAGGAGGACAAGCAAGCTGCAAACCGAGTGCCCTTCCTGGCTGGCCAAGACTGGTTGGTTTTGATGGGCGCCGTCATCGACATTGGCAACAACAAGATGTCTTTGCCGGCAGCTGGATGTGAAGTCCCGCTGCTAGTGGATGTGTCGGGCCACCTCGTGATTTCCATCGAGGACTACCCCTGTACAGGCTGGCCCCAAGGACTCTGGACAAAGGTCGATGAGTACCCGGGCGCCATTTTCGCAGTGTCGCACGAGCTGCAAAAGAGCGCCTCGCAGTCTGAAGACTCCTTCAACCTAGTCACTGACCACAACTTCATCTATGAGCCCAATGAAGACGACATGAACACGGGACTCTCTAGGGGACCTTGCACCATCCCGTGTGACTTCTGGGAGTATTTGACCACGGTTGGAGTCATCGTTCGGCACCATCGGAGGCCCTGACAACACCTCTTCGACCCTTCGGAGTTGGACAGCGGGCCTGGGACCCAGACACTGCAGCCGGCACGCCTCACTATTGTGGCTGGATCCCTCCCCAAAGACTACATTTGGGACACTTGGCCAACACCTTCGGACGTACCATGCCCAGCTGGACTTCGTTGTTGGGTTGGTGTGACCTGCTTCTTTTTGAATGGTGTTGATTTGAACAAGATTGACATCCCAACGGTGCCAAAAGGTGTGAAGGTTTTGATGAACGATGGATCATCTGTTTTTGTGGCTCCCTCCAGTGTGAAGCCCCGGCAGAACAAGAAGATCCTCCAGTTTGATTACACCAGCACTCCGCCGATCTTCGAGCATGCGAGCACGGTCCAGAAGGAAGCTTTTCGTATTCCTGAAGGTCAGTTTGGATCAAGCTCGAACGCTCGCCCAATTCGTTCACCCACTCATGCCATCGACGAGGCCTTCCAAGACCAGACTCAGCAAAGGGGCATGCCAGCAAGCATGGGCCCGTCTCGTCATCAAGATGGACATGTTGTGGAGCCTTATGGCAAGAAGCCTCTCCGTGAATCACCTCATCCGGGAGTTCAAGCACCGTGCACCGGCGCTGATGGGCTACATGGAGGCAATCATGCAGGTGGAGAACGCTGCGATGCTGCCTGCGACTTTGCCGCCTTCGACGACCAAAGCTCTTGGTCAGACAGCCAAGGCCAAGGGCAACTGGACGCCCTACCCGGAGAAGGTGAAGATGTGCCCGCACGACGTGGAGTCGGCAAGACGGATCGGCAACGCCCACGGTCGTTTTCGAGAATGTCTTCAATGCGGGCTTGTGAGAAAGGCGCTGACGGAGAACTACCGGGTTCCGATCACCGGCGAGGAAGTGATCGTCTACGGCATCACCCACGGAGTTCGAGATCGACCCGGAGGAAAAGTACAGCTGTCTGCCCAGGGAGTGCAGAGAGATCCCGCGGCATGCTCAGCCAGCTTGGCCGCATGCTACTCGCTCTCATCGCGACCGCATTCTGCACTGCAGACCCGTCGAGTCAGCACCTCGGAGAGCCAGACTTCGGGAACTTCTTCACGGAGGAGGAGTTCAGCAAGGGCTTCAGCAACGCCGCACCCGGACAGTTCCGAATGGGAGAACGTGGGCATGGACACGGACCTGGATGGCTAGAAGGTGGCCCTCCGCATCGCTCACCTATAAAGCCTGGGTTGCGTAAGCGGCTGAAGCATAGTGCAAGACGAGCACTACAGACCAGCCAGACTGCTCGTGAACTGGTTGCTGATCGAGTGAACCACGCTACATGGCCTAAGAGATCTTTTGGCTTCGACCTTGTGGAGATCTTCGGTGGCACTTCTATGATCAGCATTCGTGCAGTGCAAGGCTGGAACCTTCGTGTGCTACAACCTGTCGACATCAGGTTTGGCACCAACTTGAGGCAGCGCTCTCAACGGCGCTGGTTGATGAGGCAATTGAACAAGTGGAACCCACGACTTGCGATCGTTGAGATGCCCTGTACTCCTTGGTCCATCCTTCAACGGAACGTCAATTACCGGGACGATCCAGAAGGACTTCATGAGCTTCGAGAAGCCGACAGGCCCTTCATCAAGCTCACCAAGGAGGTTTTTGAATCGCAGCAGAAGCGTGGTGGACATGCGCTCGTGGAGAACCCTGCTAGCGCTGATTCATGGTCAGAGCCCGAGTTCCTGGCCTTGAGACAGAAGTACTTCGAAACTACAAGCTGCATGTGCCGCTTCGGCATGGTTGGAAAGCATGGCTTGCCGATGCTCAAGCGCGTGAGGTGGATGGGAACACACCCGACCTTCGCGGACTACCTCAACCTGCAATGTCAACATCAACATGAGCACGAGTTGGTGGAAGGTCAGAACACGCCCTTGTCGGCATGCTATCCACCAGACCTCGCGGACACCATCATCCGGGCCTACCTGGACGTGGTGCAGCAAGAAGACTTCGGTGTCCACTACGACTGGCAGGTGATGGAGACCAGGCACGTGCACTATGTGGATGTATCCCGCCAAGAATCAGATTGGCGGCCACTTCTAGCACAAGCCGAGGAGGTGCTTGCGAGAAAGGTGCAATCCTCATGCTTCCTGGACATCACCAGCGACCTCTACCAGAAGATCATACCACTCGTGCCTTGGCAGATCTTAAACGTGCAGATCGCACACCTTCCCAAAGCCAAGCGCCTGCGACCTGGTTTGGAAAATTGTCATCGTGCTTCAGTGCTCCTCCAGACCGACGACGTTTTGGTCATCGAGACCGAGCATCTGCCCACTGCACAGGCTCCTCGGGAGCGCTTTGTTGCTCCAGTGAAGGTGGCGATATTCGTACTGGGACATGCGCCTGGCGAACCTCAAGAACCTGTCCCCGCACGACTACCACCTCAATCTCCTCCTCTTCGCGACGGAGATGTGGTCGAGGACCCCATGGCAGAGGCCGCTGAAGAGGGCATGGCGCACGAAGGACTGGTGAGGCAAGACTTTGCCTCAGGGGAATGTTGGTTCTCCGGTTCACCTTTGAAAGCGGAACAGAAGAGGTGGGCCCCAGCACTGGTTCGCATGCACCGCAACCTTGGACATCCCCGTCCTCCAGATTTTGTTCGTGCACTTCTTCAACATGGAAAAGTTGACCCAGAAGCCATTGCCTTGGCTCGGAGGCTGAAGTGCGCTACTTGTGAAAGGACACGTCGACCCCTTCCACCTCGACCGTCCTCTCTGAAGAGTGTTGGGAGCTTCAACGATAAGTTGTGCTTGGATTTGGTCTTTTTGCACGACACCAATGAGGAGAAGCACACTTACCTCCACATCCTGGACCCGGCCGGTGGCTATAACGTGTTCATCTGGATTCCTTCACGGGCACCAGAAGATGTGTTGGAGCACTTCAACAAGAGTTGGTCGAGTTGTGCCGGCTTTCCTCGGTCCATTTGGGCCGACAGGGACGAGCTTTCCAAGGAGCTTTTGCAGAACGCCTACAGTCGCTTGGCGTCTCCATTGACATGGTGCCTGCTGAAGCACATCATCAAGCAGGCGAAGTCGAGGCCTTCAACCGAGCCTTCCGCTACACCGCCAACAAGATCATTGACGACAAGCAGCTGGCGGGTGACATTGACATGCAGCTCCTCGGTTCACTTGTGGGAGCAGCCATGAATGAGAAGGTGAGGACTTGTGGAGCTTCGGCAAACCAATGGCTTTTTGGTCGCAACCCTCGAGTGGCAGAAGATCTATTGAGCCCAGATGGTCAACTTGACGCACTTCGTGGGCTAGACCAAGACGAAGAACTGCGGCTTCGGACCTATATCAGGTCTCAGGCCGACGTGCTGATCAGCCAGTTCAAGATTGACGATGCACTCCGCAAAGCAGTGCTACGACAAGGACGCCCTTCGCGTCTGACCTATGAGCCCGGAGAGCTGGTAGCTTTCTGGAGACAAGTCAAAAAGAAGAAAGGCAAGCTGCTACAACCTGGCTGGTTCCGAGGCACCATCGTTGGACCTCACAAGGGCGACGACTCTCAGAACAACTACTGGGTGACCTCGGGCGGCAAGCTCATTTTGGTGTCAAAGGAGCAGCTTCGCCCTACCTTCGGCACAGAACGTTGGAAGATTGATGAACAAGCTCTTCAAGGCCTACTGGACAACTTCCCTGAAGAGTTCTATAATGGTCGAGACGGAGAACCCCCTGACGACATGGCCATCGATGAGAAGGCCGTGAGAGAAGAGGTGGCAGTGCCTGTTTTTGAAAGTGATGAGGAACAGTTGGTCGAGTACTCTCCAACTGATCCGAGGACACCAGATGCACAGGAAGATGATCAACCTTCCTCAGCAGCGGCTTCACGACCAGCTGATGCACATGGCTCCATCGGAAGCAACACCACGCACCTTCCGAGCATGCGAGAAGACCGTGCACCTGGTACTCCTATGCATTCACTTCTCCGTCAACCACCACCGATATCTGTGCCAGAAGAAGTCCCTATCGTGGACCCGGACTTCGAGGACGACATGGCGCTACCACCTCCTGCTCGCGAAGCTCGAGAACCAGAAGGGGCGCCGCCTGAGAAGAAAGCTAGGATCGAGGCACCTTCAGGAGATCCACCTGGCCCTGACCATCGTGTGCCAGCACAAGAGGAGATTCCGACCTATGACACCGAGCTCTATGTTCGACCACGCGGAGCTCTGTGGGGTTGTTCTTTTTCTGGTTTTCGAAAGTCGGCCATGACCAGGAAACAGCAGAAGGCGCTCGAGAAGGAGATTCCCTGGCGGATGATTCCGGAGTCCGAACGGCAAGGCTATGCCGATGCTTTGGCAAAAGAATGGTCCACGTGGCTGAAGTACCAGGCAGTCGAGATCCTCAGCATGGAGGCTTCGCTCCACGTCGAGGAGAACACCGATCCTGCAAGAATCCTGGACTCCCGCGTTTGCTACCGCAACAAGAACGCAGCCTACAGCTGGTTGCCTGTGAAGCACAAGGCACGCATCGTGTGCCGCGGCGATCGGGACCCCGATCTCCTGACCTTGAGGAGGGATGCACCTACCATGACTCGTCTTGGTCTCCTCCTCATATTACAGATATGTGCTTCATCACCAGGCTGGTTCCTCTTCAACAGCGACATCACGGGAGCTTTCCTACAAGGAGACCAGTCACTTGCCAGCCGGAAGGAACCACTTTACCTCCGGCCACCTAAAGAGGGACTACCAGGACTTCAACCAGGACAACTGCTTTTGGTGGTGCGAGGCATCTTTGGCCTTGCAAACAGCCCGCGCCTGTTTTGGCGCCACCTTCGTGACAGCTTGGTCACTATGGGCTTTGTGCAGTCGACCCTCGACCGTGCGGTCTTCATGTACTACCGCAAGGGACGGCTCATTTTGGTTTTGGGGGCCCACGTCGATGATCTGATCGGGGCCGGAAAGCCAAAAGAAGCAGATGAGATCCTGGACGAGATCAAGAAGACCTTCGACTTTGGCTCTTGGTCGGACAGCCGCACTGATGAGACTTTGGAGTATGGCGGGAAGCAGATCGTACGTGACGGTGAAAAGGTAATCCTCACCCAGAAGAAGTTCATCCTTGCTTCCTCCACCACCAAGATCCCAAAGTGGCGATCGGCTACTCCAAATGCTCCACTGCTACCTCAAGAGCACACAGAACTGCACTCCTTGGGAGGTTGTTTGCACTGGCTTGTGGGCCAATCGAGGCCTGACCTTGCTGCAGCTACATCCTTGTATATGAGCGGGCAGCCTACCGTGCACAACCTGACGCAGCTCAACAAGTTGGCGCTCGAAGCGCAGTCGACAGCCGACTGGGGGTTGACTTTCCTTCCAGTCCCACTGTCTGAAGCGCGATGGGTCGCATTCAGCGACTCTTCATGGGCGAACGCATCCGAGCTTAAGTCACAAGCTGGCTACATGGTCTTCATCGCCGGTAAGAACGTCGACAGCTTGGAGGGCGATGTGGCATCTTTGGTGGACTGGAGAAGTCACCGAATTAAGCGGCAATGTCGCTCGACATTGGCCAGCGAGACCATGGCAATGGATGCAGCAGTGGACTCCGCCATCTTTGCCCGAGAGTTCATGGCAGAGATCTTGGTGGAGGCCTACAACCCGCTCCAAAGCGGGAGACTCCCTTCGAACTTCATGCCCCTCGAGGCGGTCACGGACTGTCGGTCTTTGTTCGACATTTTGGTGAAGGATGGACCGCTTAGTTCAACCCAGGAGAAACGCCTGGCGATCGACATCGGAGGGCTGAAGGAGACGGCCACAGAGGTTGACCCTGATGGCGAGCGCCTCAATGAGGTCTTCAAGTGGATCGACACGAACCACCAGCTCGCCGACCACCTCACAAAGGTCAAACCTGGCCACCTGCTGCGCGCTTTGCTGAGCGAGGGAAGGATCGCTCTAAGAGCCATCGATCCGCGATCGAACCAAACCGGTTCTCACGCAGCATAGATTTTGGGGAGTGCAATTCTCCTTTGTTTCATGAACCTTTGCATCTGCGGCCATGAGGGCCCTTGAGCGTTGGATGAAAGACGGTGCGGATCCCGTCTCTAGGATTTGTGTGGGTTTAGGGGTCTTTGTGAACCAGGCTCCGAGGACCAAACTCGTTAGGTGTGAACCCCTACACTCGCAGATCGAACCGGTCGACTGCCGGACGAGGCGAAATACTTGGAGGAGCTTGCTCATGAGGTCCGCAGCGTGGGATGTGCCGCGCGGGAGCGCGGGGATGGTTGGAATCCCCTCATTGTCCTGTGCCATCGTGGGGCATTGCCAATGCGTGTTTCTAAAGGGTCGTCTGACAGGTCCAGTCGAACAACTGAATGAGACCCACAAAATGTTCTCACACATGTCCTCACAAAATTCTGTTATGACTGTTGATCCCCTTTGATTCAAACCCCGCCTGGGCCTGGCGAGAGTAGAACAGAAAGCCATTCTGAAGACACGAGCTGCTTCTGATCAGCTCCACGTCGCCAAGAACAGCCGAGGAGTGCGAGGCCATCCTGCAGCACTTTCCTCCCGAAAGGCTGGGCAGGGCGAATCGAAAAGAGTCGACTTGGTTGAAGTTTGAAGTGAACATCTACAGGAAACATCAGGAAACCAGGGTGTTTACTCCAAAACTATGGTTTTGCTGTATATGATTTCCTTACATCAATCAATTCTGGGTACGAAACATTTGCCTATGCCCACACACCACCCAAGCTAGATAGCGTACAAGCACAGCTACTAGGCATGGGAGCACGCACTGGGGCAACCGGCTTTTAACTTAAGGGCTACAGCTGCTCACACGCACTCCCCCCACTCCTCGGCCCAAAGCAGAGTGCATTGTGTTCAAACTACTGGGCCGTCGGGCATGAGCCACCGCACATGAGTCGTTTCCACGTTGAGCCCCATTGTTCGCCATCTTTGAAACTCCGCCTGAGCCTGAGAGCTCGAGGCAAGCTCTGATTCTGGAGCACATTGCTGAGGACATGATGTGGGGATGTGTGGAAGTGGCGGCGTTTCGTAGCACCAAGAGGTCCATGGTGAGGGCACGGAGGGGATTGGGCCGATGCCAGCGACAGGTGTAAGGGTGGTCACCCAATCGAAACCTGGGCGTCCTTTGCCAATATTTGCCAATGTTCATCAAGAGATTCTGGAGAAGGCAACAGGTTCAACTTAATTAGTGTCCAAATGTCCGTGACAACTATCTCCATCCGATGCGGTGGTTTTGCGGAAGTGGAGGGCCACGTGCCTGGAGGACACGAAATCATCTTCATCGTCAAGCACGAGGGTGCGGGGCTTAGGGGCAGATGTGGTTAGGGGCAGCTTTGGAGGGCCTTCGCTGTCCGGCCAAAAGCAACCCCTTTGAGAGGAGAAAAAAGCCCAACACGTTTCCAAATTGCACAGCCAGCTGGAGGCTGCGTCATGTGCGAAACTGAGCGAGCCACCCCCAAAAAGATCCATTGTGGAGCCATTTGCCGTGGCCGGTGCTTCACCGCCGCACCCTCAGTCCGAGGCGAAGCCGCGTGCCTCCGAGCTGTCAGGACGTGCTTTGGGCTGGGACGCCTGCCTCCGCAGCAACCGGACCCCCAGGAAGGCACGGAAGTCACCCTGCTAGGTTGACCTCTCCGGTAGTCAAAACTCTGTTCATGTGTGGGACAGAAACACCCACCAGGGTGTCCCGGTGCCATGATCCATAGCCCAAAACCATCATAGGTTCTTACAACGGCCATCTCCGGCCTCGGGCCTTTCTGTGTGTCCGAGCTAAAGAGCGACCTTCGGGTCCCGAGGTCCGGATGACTGGTGTTTGCATGTGTTTGCCACGTCTCGGGATCGTGGAAACTGTTTTGGGATGCTTTGGGTCCAAGAAAAAGATATCGAACTGTGGCCTTTTTTTTAGCCGGATACTGTTGCTGGTGGGCTGAGCCGGCCTTTTCTGTGCACACTTCAGGTCCGCCTCACGGTCCGTTTGGACCTCGTCCGCCGCCTCGTTCTGCTCGAAAGAGCAGAGATCCTTTGAGGCTTTGCCGGCACCATGGCGGCCCGCGCGAAGCAGGGTGAGGGCTACCGAGCCGGACGGTGGACGGGGACGATGGCGACAATATGCGACGTGATTTGTTTGGAGGGATGCTTTTGGTGATTTGTGAGCAGCATGTGGTGATGTATTTAATTTCTTATGACATGAATGACGTGAGACTCCTCGAGCTTCAACACAGGAAGCTGATTGGCATTCCATCCGTTTTTACTTTTCGAATGGATATTCCACTGGGGGTTGGTTGTGAAAAAAGAAAGATGTGAAATTGCATTTTGGCTTGATGGACCTCATAGTTGAGGACTCCTTCTTGGTGAATTATTCCAGGCAGCCTCGTGGAGGCATGCGGTTGCCATCGCTCAATGCCGGCCTTCACCCATCTCAGGTATCTCAGAAATGGCTCCGGAGGCGAGACTTAGGTCTAGTGACGTCAGAAATTGATTCAGACATTTTCATGTACTGTACACATTGTTCATACATGCCCACAATTGGTGCACCTCACCCTTAGGCTAATGTTTTTGAACTTCAAGGGGTGGCGGGAGCCACCTGCCGAAGGCCTCGAGCGCCGCAGCGGGTGAGATGAAGCGGGCGGCCGCTGCGGCCAGCTCCGCCGCTGGCTGGGCTTGGCACCCGGCCGCGGGGACACTGATGTAGCGTAGCAAGGGTGATGTCTCAAAGAAAAGGAACTGTGAACGTATCATAATTAACGTATCTACTTTCTGCATCCATATCTCAGTTCTTTTTCAGGTCTTCTCAGGGTTCAGGGGAGGTGCAAATCCTAGTTTGGACATGGAACTTCTTGTTGAGCAGCTCCATTTCCGTGGGAAATGGATCATCAATCAATGTATCACAATTGGTGGGTTTCCTGTCATGCTGTTTGTCCTTTGGCTTCCATGTCAAGAATCCTGAGTATCAAGAAGGGCGAGTTCGGAGTGGATCAACAGTCATGATTGGTCGCCCTCACAGATCCAGACCGGCACCAGCCGGAGGGCAAGCTCCCACAACTGCAACACTGAGTATAACGAGTATAAAGACCCCCGGGGCCCACCTTTTCTTTGTTCATGTTTGTTGATGTGTGCTTGTTGTGCCAAGGACCACAGGCACCGACCTCGGCCGTCCGTCCTTTGCGTGCCGTCCTCTGACTCGAACGACCGAGGCACGCCATAACCTGCGCCAGGCCGCGGACCAAGCCGCTGCCACGAAGAGCGCCTGGAAGCCCAAAGGATGCACTCGACGAGTGCATCCAATGAAGCACCACTCGTTCCTGGCGTGGCTTACGTCATACGTGCACATACATGCTGGATTGAGAGAAGGTCTCATTTTTCCGAGACTGTTGCGACCGGAAGTCCGTCCCCCTAAGGTCTCTCCACTGTCCTCCCCGGCGTCCATTGCTTTGGCTTCGTCGACTCCGACTCCGCCCCCGGCTCCGCCGACTGTTGCGCCCGTCACAAAGGCGGAGTATGCCAAGACCGCGGCCAACAGCGCGCTGAGCGCGGCCAAGGTCGGCGTCCACACCGCAGCGCATCAGGTGGGAAGAAGGAGTGAGTTGGGGAGGGTTGGGAGGTGTCCAGGTTCGGGCCCTCAGAAGGTGTTAGAATTTTGCATTCCAGAACGGGCAGGCTGAAATATTTGACGGTATTTGATGGTATTTTGGGATCGTGTTCTTTGAGGTTCTTGTCCTGGATCCAGAATGATCCTGGATTCCCAATAGATTACTTGTACCTCAGTTTCCTCGGGACTCCTGATGATCCGAAATCGCAGCGTTGCTCCCAAATCCCGACGTCTATGGACCATGTATTCTGCAGCGACCTCTCCAAATGCACGGAATCCATGTGCACATCGGTCACCATCCTTCATCCCTTCACCCCTTAAATCACTCCCTCCCTTCACATCGCCTCACAGACTCTTAGAGTTCCATTCCGCCCGATCGTGTTTTCCGGCCGACGCGATGGCTATGGGACCAGACGGCAGCCCTGTCCATCCACCCCGACTCCAGACGCTACCAGCCGCCCCAATGTAGCTGGACCGTCGAACTTGACACGCTCCATCAAGAGGCCGAAAGGTTTCTATAGCGTATATATATATATATAGCTCAACAGATCTTAATAGAATATTTTATGTTTGTATTTGTTTAGAATACAGACTGAATTCACACGAAAATCAGTTTCAGGCTTCAAGATTGACATGAGAGAAGGTGCCAAGTGGGATCAGTCTCAACTGGCTGGTTGAGTCATGGCACCTCCCTCACCTAACCATGGGAGCTCGGTGGACCTCCCGAACAGACGAGGAATCCGTTCAGGTCAACCAGGGGTCAACTCCCGGGTGCCATGACGGTGCCATGACGAAAACAGTCAACTAGGGGGGGCATCCAATTCTGAAGAAGGTGCATTGTCACCGGAGCGGGGGGGAGCGACGTCTTCGTGGCCGAACTGAAGCCAAGTGAAGCCAGGCTTCAACTGTGTGAAGCTCAGTGGGCTGTGGGAGATGTTTCCGGGTTGAGGAAAAAGCCACCTTTGGTCGAGAGTCATGGCAGCTCCCCCACCAAACCCTGATAGATCTGACAGGTTGACCTCCTTCATATAGAAGAATTGGTGCATGTGCGGGTTGGTCAACCACGGTTCGTCTCGGGTTGTGCAGACATTTGGGAAAATCATCTCCGATGACCAGTTGCACTTACTGCAAAGTATTCGCAGCGGGGTCAAAAGGCTTGGGCTTGGGTGGTTTGTGATGTTTGTGGATTTCTCATCCATCCCAAAGGCCCCGGCTTGATTGATCCATTGGTGAATTGAGGAATTGGCTTATATTTGCTTGCACGATCCGAGCGACAGTGGGGTAGAGGTCAGCCGGTGAGTCCCACGACCCATGGGACTGGCAAATTGACCTGCGGTCCCATCCTCCCCAGGCAGCAGAGACTGCCCGGCACAGCGTGGCGAGCTTGGTCTCCTCGTCCTCCTCGAAGCGTGGCGGCATTGCGGGTGGTGGTGCGGGGGGGAGCCCCACGCATTTCGGCGGTAGAAGTTGTTGTGGGGAGAGGATTTCATTGGTAATGGCGTTTGGGGGTTGATTTGGTTTGATTTGATTTGGCGTGAATTGACTTGTTGTGACATTGATGTGTTCTCATCTCCAGCGACAATCCCCCCTTCGAAGAAATCGACCAGATGGGGGGGGGCCTCGAAATCTCAAGCGAAAATGTCTACAAGTTCCAGCTTAATCCGTACTTCCATGATCAAGGGAACACATCAATGAGAACATGGTGTACATTGAAGAAACCTGACAATGCAATGAGAAATGCACTGTAATTGTCATCATGTCTCATTTTGCTGGTGTTCTCATGTGCATGCTGTAGCACCTTTCGTCGCCTCGGCGAGCTCGTGCCACCGGGCGGGCCGTTTCGACTCGAGGTCCCCTGCTGTGGCGGATTCGAGTCGACTGGCCGGGCGGTCCCGGTGCGGAGTCCGGTGGGGAGTCCGGTGCTGAAAACTGTTTGAGGCTCATGACATCTCATGACAGTCCTTCAATGTCCTATGCCAAGCAAGTGCCAAGCACTGTCCTAAGCAAGCTGCTCAACACCCAGAGCGCCAGTGGCATAGCTTTGACAGGAGCGGGCCTGTAGTAGATGCGGGTAGTAGATTGTAGTAGTTGGGTTGAGGGCATTACTCTCCATCTAGAATCAAATAGTCCAAGAAAAGCTTTAAAGTAATCAGTTAGCACGCGTAGTGCTTCTCACTATTTGCATCAGTTTAATTCATTTTACATCTATTCACCTTAGCCCACGGCGGGGAAGGTGGGCTACCACGGTATCCCCACATTGAAGTCTTTGTGAGCCGGATGGGCCCCTGTTCCACAGGAAAAGGACTCTCTGGTCGTGACGCCCATCACACCCCTTCGCATCCCAGGAATTTCTGAATGCATTCAGAGACTCAGATGACATTCTTTACACAGGATTTTCCATGTAAAAAGCGTGATCTAAACAAGTCTATATATGACCGATCGATCGAAGATCGTGGTTTGTCATGTAGCGACCGTAGAGTGGCGGCTCAAATTCCTTCTTAGTCTAAGTAGGGATCAAGCTACGCCGCCATGGATGACGACATGTCCCTGGTCTGCAGCCTCAGTGGGCTCTCAGAGGGGCAGGCCAGGGCATTGTCGAAGGCAGGGTGGACGGTGACGCGCCTAGCCACTCTGCAGGGAGCTCCACGCGAAGTTTTCGAAGCAGTCGTGTGGAGGACGCAAGAGATGGAGGAAGGCTTCCTGATCGACATGGAGATGCTGGTGGACTTGGTGGCAAGGGCTGGGGCCCGAGCTGAGAATCGGCATCTTCACGACGCCAAGCGCGCCCAAGAGTTGTTGGATGCTCACATTGAGCACCAGCGACGAACACGCCGCAAGGCTTTCGATGAGTTGATCGAGGCCGATACGACAGCACGTGTGGAGATGGTAGGAACAGCAAAGAGAGCAAGGTGGCCAACACCCCTTGGCAAGAAACTGCACATAGCAGGTACAGATCTAGCATTGTGAGGGAGCTGGCCGAACGCAAGGAGCGCGACAGATGGATTGAGGAGATCAAGATCATTGTGAAAGGGCCAAGCTTCCGGTGTCGCTCAGATCTGGGGACGATGCTCTGATGCTCAGGGTGGCGAAGGGCAGGCGCCCGAACACTCTGAGAAAGCATGCAAAAGCATGGCACAAGGCAGCGAGGTGGTTCTTCGCCACCTACGACATTCTGTGGCCGGAGCGGCCTGAGCAGTTCGCAGACTTCCTCGAGGCAATGGTACAGGAACCCTGCTCTAGGTCCTTCCCGGAGTCCATCTACAAGACATTGATGTTTCTGGAGCATGCAGGAGAGGTGCCCGAGGACAGGCAAATTTGTCGTTCGTTGGCGGTCAAGAACGCCCTGGAGGAAGCAAACCTGAGCCTGCAGTCGATGGAGGTGAAGTCACCACGACAAGCTTTATTGATTCCGGCTGCCATCATCGTTGCGCTGGAAGACCATGTGGTGAACGAAACAGAGCCCAACTATGCCCGGGTCTACGCCTGGTTTTGCCTTGTGAAACTATGGACAGGCATGAGGTTTGATGACACTAAGGGCACACCCAATCGGTCGATGGAGTTCACGGAGTGGGGACTCCGAGGAACGATCCACCGATCGAAGACATCAGGCCCGGGCAAGAAGATCCTGCAGCTGCCCTTCTACATCAACAAGCATGCGTGGCTGAAGCAGGAGAATTGGTTGAAGGAAGGCTGGAGGCTGTGGAATGCAATGGGGGTCGAAGCGGGGATCCCCACCCGCGACTTCATGCTACCGTGGCCGACTGAGGACAGAAAGGTCGTTGGATTGGATTGAGAGTTGAAAGATGCCACAGGTGACCCGCTGCAATTCTTTTGGTGGCGCAGAGCTAGAGGGAGCCCGGCGCGATCTACGGTGGCGGGGCCGGGCAAAGCAGTGCACGATGGTGGATATCCGGCACGACACGGAGGAGCGGCGGAAGAACGCCATAGCCCTCCTGGATGCCGACCTGCGCGGTCTCCTGCAGGTCAAGGAAGTTGATGAATCAGGCGAAACTCGCTGTGGCAAAAGTGAGGAGCATGAGTCGCATGAGCACAATCGCCGATGACAGGGTGAAGATGAGGGCCTTTTGCGTGGACGCATTGGGCTTGGAGGCTGACAGGAATGTCGCGGAGATCGCATCGCTTGTGGACATGTGGGAATCGGCATCGGCTCGGGTTGCAGTCAGGAACAAGGCAGAGGCCGAAGCAGGAGTGTCCAGTCTGCCAAGGGCACTCAACAAGGTGGAGGTGCAGGACGTGCTCGTCCTGTTCCAGAAAGTGCATGGCATCAAACTTGAGGATGGCAATACGCCAGCAGCCACGACTTTGGAGCAGGTCTTCGACCAAGTGGAACAAGGCGAGATGAAGAATATGAGCCTGGTACAGTTCCTGAGCAGAGAAGATGCAGAGGCCGACATCTTGGGTGCCACGATCGAGAAGGGCACCGGCACGCTCAAAGTGAAGAAGGGGTACGGGGAATGTCAAAAGCCTCGTACATGCGAGGAGTTCCGCAAACGAATGGCGGTTCTCGCACACACATACTTGCTGGCGCAATTGAAGTATCCCCAGCGTGCAGCACTGAAGGATCTCGTTCCCCAGGACTTTCTCAAGTATTTAGACTTGTTGCTGGGTGACCATGTCTTGGGCCTCAAAGCACGGCCAAAAGATGGAGAGGTAGTAGCCGCACCAGATTTTGAGCTCGTCCTTTCGTATGACTTCCAGATTCGGCGACAAACGGTCAAGCTCATGAATGAGGGCCAGACCATGAAGCAGGCGCTCAAAGAGGCGATGACGGACACTACGATCAAGGAGAGATACTTTCTCACACAGGTGTCATCGTCTTCAAGCAGGGGCCTATACAATGCGCCGGAGTTTGATCGCTCCAGAAGTCCTCCGGGTCAATCGGGACCTTGGGGAGGTGATCGATTTGGTGAGCATGGAAAGGGCAAAGGCAAGAGCAAGAAGGGCGGCAAGGGGCGTGGGAAGAAAGGCAAGCAGATGCATGATCGCACTCCGGATGGCAGGCAGATTTGTTGGCGATGGAACGACCCACGTGAGCGTTGTCGCTTTCAATGTGGGAGGCTTCATGTGTGCCAGCTCTGCTTTGGCAACCACCCGGCACACTCGTGCGATGGCAGCGGCAAGAAGGGCACTGCTGGTGGAGGCGGTGATGGGAGCAACAAGAATGCCTGAAAGGAGCAGCCCGGGGAGCCTGCCCCAGCTCCCCAGGCGGTTGTGAGCACTATACGAGGGGCGCACGACGCTGCAGAGTTCTCTATCTCTGAGCACGATCAATTGCCGGCTTCCTACACGACATGGCAGAGTCGGCAAATTTGGAGTTTGAAGTGCGTGAAGTGGACTGGGACCTGGCCAACTACTGCAAGAGTTGAGAGACGGGTACATATGATGTGGTGTTGGTCACACCACCTTGTTCTACCTGGTCAAGAGTTCGTGGAGCAAACTGTCGGGGACCTCCCACGATCAGATCCAAGGAGCATCCCTGGGGCTTTCCTTGGCTGTCCAAACGGCGTCAGAAGGACGCGGATTTGGGCAATACGCTGATTCGTTTCATGATTCAAGTGTTGGAGGTCCTAGACATGCATCCCTATGCCGCCTCAGGGCATTTGGTATTGATCTTCGCAGAACGCCCCGAGGATTTGGGTGTCATCTACCGAGAAGAAGATGGAATACGCATGTTTCCAGCATCCATTTGGCAACTGCAGGAGCTACGTCGTTTGGCGCAAAGCCTTTCGTTGAAGCTGGCCACAGTCGCATTCAACCAATGTTGCTGGCAGGCGCCTTACAAGAAGCCCACTCGATTGTTGACTCATCTGTCCGCCCTCAAGCATTGGGAACCAAACGAATGGCCCACTTTTCACGCAGATGGTAGTTACCAGGGCCCACTGACAGATGCTTGCTCATGTACTCCTTCAGTTACACTGGCCCGACAGCCTCATGATGACAATTTCAGGACTACTGCAACTTCAATCCACCCTGCAGCCATGGATAGAGCCATTGCAGCAGCCAGTATTCATGAATTTCTTCACGCTCCCACTTCGTCTAAAGAGGGGGACACTCAGCTGGAGCATGAACCAGGAGACAACGATGTCGAGGAGCAGGGCAAGAAACGAAAGCAGCCGGCAGTGGCTCGAACGCCGCCAGAAGATGAGGGTTCCGAAGAAGGCCCCGAAGAGTCCTGGCCACGGCCCGCCCATGCAAGTCAGGTACAAGGGCGAGACGCGCTCTTTGCACGATGGGGCTGGCAAAATGGCCTGTGTTTGCCGGGTCGCTGGCCTGTGCACTTGAGGAACGACCCAACTTCGGAGGTTGCAAAGGATTTGATGAGATGGTTTCTCCGGGCCTTCGACGATTGGCTGAAGTTGGAAGGAGGAGAGAAGCCGGAGAGGAGGAGGCTAGACAGAAAGACAGAGATAAATTTTCGAAGGCTCATGGCCGTGGCGGAGGTGCTGGAAGATGTGAGGGCAAAAGAAGGGTCAAAAAAGATATTTCCGCAAAATTTGTGGCAAAAAGAAAGGGATTAATTCGGAAGATCCGGTTTCTTGGGAGTCGTCTGAGTCTGCTGTTACACTTGGACATCCCATCGCATGAGATGAACAAGTTTTGGAGATCTCTCGATGGTTTGGGGGGATTTCATGGTATCTTTTGGGAGCGGGTTGGTGGAAAGCAATCCGACAGTTTTCAGTTGGAAGGTCTCACTGGCGGCTTCTTTAGCCTCCATGTCTGCCGAGTGCGTAGCCATGTCAAGTGCGGCGCCGGCGGCTGGCTTGTGGCGGAGCTGAGCGCTCGGGAACGACGTGGGCAGAGGCGTACCTCTGGAGCGGTTGTGGAAGCACCTGGAGCGATCCTGGCAGGGACATGGGATGGCTCCGGTGGATTTCAAATCCTTCGCTTCATCTTTTGCCTCCTGCTGATTTGGGATTTTGCCCCCTTGGGTCTTTTGAGGTTTGGGGTTGGTTCTGGGGATTCTTCCCATGGGACGGTTACTGGAAATGTTTGTTCCTGTTCCATGTTACACCAGGGTTCCCCGGGGCTTTGTCGAACGAAACGGCGTAAACGGCGGTCGCTGAAACCAAAGAAGGATGCCCCCGCTGCTCGGATTCGCACGATTCGACCGGGTCGCTGGATTGGCGGCCGTCGCCGGCGGAACTGGAAGCCTTGGGCGTCGCGAGTGAAGGGTCGACACCGAAGACTTCGCCATCTTAATTGGTGGCTTCAGGGTAAGCTCCGAGCAGAGCGTTTCGAACCCACAACAGGTTATGGGTGACTCGCTTCCCCGACACGAACCGCGGTGAAGGGGATTGTAAACAAGTTTAGAGAACCAAAGCCAGGCAAGCTTCCAGCAGCTCCGCCACGAGAAGCGCGCGTCAGAACCCACGACCCATGAACTCGAAGGCACACGAGTATCGGAGTCAGAACAAGCGAAGTCGGGGCGGGAGGATCACCGTGCACAAACTCCGTCCCTGCCGTATGGCCATGCAGAGTCACTCGGCGGAAACGAAACAATTCTGGTGCCACGAGTGAGTTGGTGCAGCAGGTGGTGCAAGCTGTTTTGGAGGTTCTCGTGAAGGGTGATTTTCAACTCCCTAAGGATCCGAAAAAGACCAAAAAGCCCCGGAAGTCACCCAAGGTTCCGCCGACGCATGTCGCTACGCCGGCCACGAGTGGTGCTACGGTGCCAAAGCAGGGTTTTTTCTCACCAGCCCTCGGGTTCCGAGGCCAGGGGGTTCCCATGCTACTTGGGCCAACATGGTTTCTAAACCCAATTAACATGTCGCCGGTCGCTTGCTGTCGTCCGTGTGGCCTCCCAAAGCGGTCCAACAAGTCCAAGATGTTCGGAAAAAACTTGAGGATGGCGAGTGGCCCTCTGGAAGTGTGACTTGGTGCTTTTCCCAAGAGGAAGTCACCCAACTCCAAAATCTGTGTATAGGGTTCATGCTCTCGACGGTGCTTTTGCTTTGGGGTTGCTTTGGGGTTGCTTAGGGGGGGGGCCAGTCTTCCATGAGTGATGGTTCCTCCTGTAGGGTCCCGGTCCTTTGGGGTGAAAAGGTTTCTTTCGAAACTTTTATGTTCTGACCCTTGGGTTCCATTTGCCGGATTTACACCAGCATGTGGTTTCTTCCTCCAAGCATGTCCCTGAGAAGAAAGCGCTTGAATCGAATAGTGTTTTCATTCCGGTTTCTTTCGTTGATCGTGAATTTTGGAATCGTGCCAAAGCGCGACCGCATCCTTTCATGCAGGAGTGGTTTCCTCGCGGATCTGGTGACGTCACTAAGGCGTTACAGCTGGAAAGAAGAGACTTTGGGTGATGAAAAGTTCCTGCGAGGGACTATCCGGGTTCAGGCCTCTTTGCTGCACGACGCCTTTTGCAGTTGCCGGGCAGCGATGGTGTTTTTCTCACTCCGTCGGGTCAGGTATCTACTTTGTCCACCCCCGTCAAATGGTTTCCTCGATCGAAAGATGAATCTTTGACGGCCTATTTTGGTCGAGTGGAGAGGGATCGAGGGGGAAAACCCCTGGCTTGGCGTAAAGGTGGTGGTGCTTTCCTCGGGGCCCGCTTGCCTAAAGACCCCACGGATGTCGGATTGGCCTTTGGGTGGAAAGTGCGGAATGTTCCTTCTGATTGGACTGAGCATGATGTTGCTGGTGCTCTCTCGGGCGCCGGTTGGACAGAGGTTGCTGTTAAGACCATTCCGCAATTCAGACGTCAGCCATGGGTTATTAAAGGTCGGAACCCTGGCGCTTTTGGCGCTGAAGTTGCGGCTGTTCAGGTTGGACCTGATGTTTTCCTGACGTTGGAAAAGATGCAGGCGCATGGTCGTAAAGAGCCTTCTTCGAACTTTTTGCGTTCTCGGGCTTGTCCTGGCATGGGCCAAGTTGACCATCAGGAGGTTGCTCCCCATCCTAAGCTGAACAAAGGGTCGCAGGCTGCGACATCTAGGGAGTCGGAAGTTAAGGAATCTAAAGATGAGGCGGAGGTTGCTGATAGGGAACGACCCCCGAGGCGAGGCCAGAAAGTTGAAACTGAGGCCAAGGAACCTGTGTGGGCTCCGGATCCCCGTTGCTTTTTGAAGAGCTTGACTGTGGCGCGCAAGGTCAGTGTGGTTATAATGCCATCGCTGTTGGGTTTGCGCTCGGCCGGGGTGATGCGTGGCAGAATGTGAAGCCAAAGGCGGCTACACGTGGAAAGACCTTGAGACAGCAGACTCACCAGTACATCCTGGAGCACCAGGCTGACTTCAGAAACTTATGGACCAAGGATCCAAATTGGACTACGACGACTGAAGATGGGGTTATTCCGATCCCTGACAATTGGGATGACTGGTTAAAGGCCTTGTTGCGTCCAGGGCGTCGGTTGTGCCAACACACGTTGCGAGCTGCTGCTTGCCGCTTGGGCGTGCGCGTGGTGGTCGTGCGCGGTGGCGGCTCTGGTCTTTGGGAAGAGCCGATTGCTGTCGGATCGCCCAAGCACTTGACTGAGCCGATCGTGGTTTCTTTGCGTGACGAGCGCTATCGGTTGATTCGTGCCAAGCCAGGTTTTATCTGCCTGAAAAGTGGACTCAAGCACTGCCAAAGTGCCATTTGTCTCAGGAGACTTTTGTGCGTGGTGGAGGTCGCGCGTCGTCCGGTCGATCGTCTTCGCATGCGTGGCTGCCCCCAAAGTCTGATAAGACCGCCAAGAGTCGAACTGAGTCTGTTGACTGGTTGCCGCCGCCATCGTCGGTCTCTCGGAGTTCCAAATCTTGGTTGCCTGCTCCTTCTACGATTGGAGGCTTCGACTGTGAACGTGACGAGCCCGCAGATGTGCCGCCTTCGGCCGGCCGCAAACGATTGCGCAGGGAGTCAGAAAACAAGCCACTGGTGCCTGAGGGTGAAAGTTTGAAGTGGACTTGCCCCAAGTGCAGCCTCGAGTTCTCCGCCACCAGCCGGCATCGGTTGTCAAATCTTAAAAACAAGCATGTCTCTCGGCGACACCCGGAGTCAAGAGTTGAAATCGGTCGTACTTGGAGCCGGGCCTTGCTGGTGGTGCCTGTTTCGCATGTTCGTCCCGAGGACGAGGTTGGTTGGACCTGTTATTTTTGCAAGGGCACGCTGCCGGGCATCGATAATCCCAGAACTCGGAGCAAAAGTGCTTTGGCTCACCTGGCCATTTGCCCCAAAAAAGCACCGCGGTCTCGTACGCCTTTGACCATGATTGACAACATGGCCCATAGGATCAGGGAGTTGGGTGGGACCCCCCTCCACGGTGAAGATGTTGGTTCCATCCAAAGGTGAGAAAGGTATGGAACGCATGGCTCGGTTGAGTAGGGCCCTGGTTCAGTTTAGTTGCAGAAAGGCATTGTTTTCGCATCTCGCCAGAGGGCCAACGAGGCACCAAGGCGCATACATCTTGTTGTTCCAGTTTTCCAGGGCGCCTTGTGACCACATATCCTTTGTACTTCCTTTCGGAGTCCTGTGCCATTTGAAGCATTTGAAGCATATATTGAAACGTGCAAGCCCCTAGTACTACGTGAAACAGTGAAACTCCGCTATCCTAAGTGTTTCGTGCTGTACAGCCTGTACAATCTGTACTCATCCAGGACTACCACTAGGGTGGCAAACTATGAGGACCTCTCGCAATTGGAGGGTGACATCGTCAGCTTCCTGCCAACGGTCTCTGATATCGAGGTCTTTGGCTGCGAAATTGACCTCATAGAGCCAGATACTCATTGCCATTGGGTGATTCCTTCCGCTCCACGCTACGGCAGCAAAACAGGCTGCAGGTGATTGTCCATGCATGGAGGAAGGGCATACGGTCTGGCAGTTCCAAGACAGCGACAGGGATGGTCATCTCCCAAGGCAGTTCGAGTCCCACCCAATGCACGGCGGACAGTACCTGAAATGATGCATAGTTTTTTTCGAAACAGTGTGCTCACAAGTTTGTTCGGGTGGAAAAGTGCGCTAAAACTTCGCTGCATGCCGCTTTTTTCACTTGTTCTTCCTGTTTGGTCACTTGGAACTCCCCCCAAATGCTCAAGTGCGATATGGAGTTAGGTTTGCAACAAGAGTGCCTTGACCGCGAACATGGGGTTCGTAACATGGGCACTCGAACGATCTGGCGATCGGCGGACAAGCAGACGAAGGCATGCTAAGGTGTGGAAACTCAGTGCTCGAGAGAAAGAATGTCTTCACGAGCAAGGTTGGAAGTTACTTCGGAAATTTGGCCGCAATCCCAACACTGCCTCGGACTCAAAGAAGAATGAGTCGGTGTACCGCACTCGTCAGCGGCACCAGAAGGCCAAAATGATGGCCAAGAATGTGTCTCGAGGAGGCTTGTTTCATAAGCAGCGTGAGAAGGTCGTGCGTGAAGGAAAGGAACCGAACCCTGGCCCGTCGTCACTGTGGTGTGGGGTTACCTTGAACTATGCTTCTCTGGACAACACTTGGGCCTTGGTCGACCTGTTGACTTCCCACCGGTTGCGTCCAGACGTTGTTTGCTTGCAAGAAACGTTCCTGAATGCGAGAGCCAGCTGAAGGTCGCTGATCGGTTGCGGTAAGCCGGCGGCGCCTGGGATGGTATGCTGGGCGTCCTGATGATGCGGCCGTATTGGAACATATGGCGAAGGTGCGGCAGCAGCTTTTGGTTCTTAGCCCACTTCGGCGCCCTCCTGCGGCTGCTGAAGCGGTGCTGCAGAGCTGAGCTGCTGTGATGTGAGCTTGGAGTGCCGCTGTCCTCGAACACGTACACTCGATGAAAAATTCCTCCTGGCGGAGGTGGCTGGTGAAGGTGTCAGCTTGGGCGTCGATGAAGAAATGCCCAGGACTCCTCAAGTCTATGAGGAGAAGGTCAAGTGGACGGTGGGTCCGACCGATGAGTGCTTTCGTGATGTCTTGGCAGAGAACTACATCTCTGCAGAGGAGAATCATGAGGACATCGAAAGACAGGTGTTGGAGGAGGTGACGAACGGCAACATTCTTCGCATGTCGGAGGCGGAGGCGAGATCGCGCTTCGCTGGCAGGCTGGCGGTGGCAGCACTTGGGGCCGTGCCAAAGGAGCTCGGCGCGAACAGACTGAGATTGATTCATCAGGGTCAGAGACCGCACGCGGTTTCCTCTCTTTGACGATGCTGCAGCAGTGCTTCGACAGATTGAGGAGTGCAAGCGGGAGCGTCGTGAGGTGGTGAGACTTTCAGTGCTCTACGACATAGCCAGGGCTCATAAGCTCATACCGGTCAAGGAGAAGGACTGGGGTCTTCAGGCTTTTCGCTTGCCGGGCGACGACACTGGGGACGTCTTCGTGCATACACGGGGGATCTTTGGAGTCGCGAGTGCGGCTTACTGGTTTGGACGGGCGATTGGAGTGGCCGGTCGGTGCACACACAGGATCCTGGGTCGCCATATGGGCGTGCTGCATTTGATATATGCCGATGACGGCTGGACTGCCGCCACAGGCAAGGCATTTTGGAAGAAGATCCTCATGTGGCTCTTCGTCTTTGAGCTCTTCGAGATTCCCATCACGTGGAAGAAGGTTCGAGGGGGAGCCCAAGTTGATTGGATAGGCTACCACCTCGACGTGTCCACAATTGCAAGGGGCATCAATGAGTCGAAGAGGAGGTGGATACAGAAGTGGATCGACGACAAGCTTGCTGCAGGTGGTGTCGTCGGTCGTGAGCTGAAGTCGGTCCTGGGTCGGCTCTCTTTCGTAGCAGGGGCCTTGAAGCATGTCAGGCCATTCTTGGCTCCGCGGTCTTCCACGCTGGCAGGTGGCACCTTCGCCAAGTTCCCGGACGCAGTGGCCGTTGCACTTGAACAGGCGAAATGCACCTTGGGCCTACATGAAAGGTGATCCCTTCAGGGCCATAGCCAGTTTGGAGTTGGTGGGGGTGTTAGTGGCAGTCATGGTCTTTTCTCCAGGAGCTGAGTGGGCATCGGGGGAGACGAGAGTGACCTTGTCCGCTCTGACCAACAACCTCGGCAACACCCACGTCCTTCGAAAGTATGGCGCCAGCAAATACCCAAGTCCATTGAGTATCATCGCTATGGAGCTGGCGTCTCAGTTGGATCAACTGGGCTTGGAACTGGACTTGCAATGGGTGCCAAGGTGGCAGAACCAGTTGGCCGACGACCTGACCAACGACCGCTTTGAGGAGTTCGAAGCCAGTAAGCGCATACCTGTAGACTTTGAGTCTTTGCAGTTTAGTGCTGGACAAGCTGCTGCGCAAAGCAGGTGAACTGGACGAGGAACTGCGCCTCTACAATCCAAGGAAGCAAAGCAGGCAGCGCTGCGATCTGGTGAACTCAAGCTCGAGAAGAAGGTCAAGAAAGGGCAAGTGCGCTGACAAGACCCTTGGTGAGCAGGGCAGGGCGGGTCGCCGTTCGATGGTCGTTGGTTCCCTCCACGTTCCTTTTAGTAAGAATAGATAGAGATGGGGTAGTGCAGGACTCATCTAATGCTAAAGTGGGGGGAAGTTAGAAGAGGCAATGGTATAAAATAGAAAACTCTCGAGAA